TTTTCTCCATATCCCCCCACTGACTCCATCTAGGTACCATTCCATCAGTGCATTTTTATCCCTACTCCCAACCTCCGTCTTTCCCCTCTCTATCCCCTCCATCCTCCATGCCTCTTTAAAAAAAACTGGGTGTGAGATCAACATGAGTGTAGCTTCAGACTTTCATATGGATGTGGGAGGGGCACGGTGCCACGGTGAGCAATCCCACTAATGCCACCAACAAACATCAGAGACCCTTGCATGTGTGGATTGAGCGTGCTGTGCTGGCATGCTGTGCCTAAGGGTAGGGAATTTTAAATCAGGCGTCCAAGGAAACTGAATATTTGAATACTTATTCCTTATCAGAAGCTGGGATACTAATGGGGGAGTTTTGACTGAGCGGGTTATGGAGATAGATTGAATGTGGTGGTTGGGGACAAGCAGATGGAGTGTTTACCCTTCTTTTTTCAAGTATTACAGTGGGGAGAGAGCACATGAGCTCTGCCCAGTGTTTCTCCTGTGGAATTACAAGACTAAACACATCTAATAAGACATGGTTGTGTTTTAATTGCAGGATTATGTGCTCATCTGCAGTGTAATCCTGTTCTTCTCTGGCCATTTTAAATACATTTCTATAACAATTTTAGCAAACTGCCATTCAAATATTACTGTGTTGAGACTGTGGACTGTATATGATGATGAACAACATGACTACTCCCAAACAGTGAAGCCAAAGTATCTTGATTGCCTCCTAGTGGCTGGCTGCAGTATAGGACATAAACCTCCTCCATGTTAACTGATGGCACATGGCCCAAACAAAAAGGTCAAAAAAACACACGTTTGATAAAATGCTCATATTTGCTGACATTTGAAGTTGTTCTTATCAGTTTGGTTTTAGTTCGTTAAGCTATAAAATGGTGTTTTGCTGTTTGCTAATGTCTCATATTTATTTCACAGCCATGGGAGTTAAATCAATCTTCTCATCTTTCTCGAGGTCATGAGCATTTCCAGAAAAGTCTAAATATTCTTTTCAAAGTAGCAAAAGGCACTAAAAGGTCATATAACCTCCACATGGATGTCACGGGAAGATTAAAGCGCCTCGTTAAGCGGCACAACTGAACTTTCCCTGAGTCACAGAGTCAAAGAACAATCTCCTCTCACTTTATCTCCTTTAACATTCACTCTGTTGGCCTGTTCCCGTCTTAATGGAACAATGCAGCAGCATTACCAGCGGCTCATCCTTGTGATCCTGTCTCCCTGGGGTGCCGGTCCCCTTCCAGTGGTGTGTAAATGTAGGTCAACTGCGCTGTGATTTAGTGGGCCTGTTGTTTGTTTGGATGAGGAGTTTTAGTTGTGATGAATCGTCGGCTCCGGCACTTGAGCGTGTTTAGTGGTGTGACTCACAACAACTGCAGGCACCTTTCTGAAACTGTCTCTTATTAATGATGATAGACAGCCAGCTGACAAACAGCAGGGTGAAGATGCTACATTACAGCAGCGGGGCGAATTAGGTGCTGTTTTTTTGCAAAAAAGGGTTCGGCTGAGGGGAAAAAGTTGGTCACAAAGAAAATGGAAGCATATGACTTGTCACTGTGGAGACAAAAGCATCTGAGATATGTCTATCATGTTTTCCACATTTACTTCACAAAGTGGTTTATCTTGATGAACCGACTCATGTAATAATCACTCAATAGTGGTAGATGCACGTTCATTTGTATTATCTTCTGCCAATTTCCTGCAGATTTTGTTGAAATTAAATTTGCACTAAATTTGGATAGAAGCAAGTCTCTGTGATTTCTTAACAGGGACAGAAATAGTTTGACAGCTTGGGAATGAGAGTTAAAGAAACAACACTCTTATGTCTCTATGCCAAATATGAAGCTGCTGCTGTTCACATTTGTTGAACAGGGGGAGTGGAAGAAGAGGAAACAGTCCACCTGACTTTGTCCAAAAATTAACATTTGCAAATGTGTCAAGGGCAAACCTTCACCTCCCATTCATTTCCAATCTGTGCAATCATAGAGGGAAATACAACATTGTCTTTCTTTCTGTGGCGAGTGTGACTGCACCCTGAAGCTCTATAATTGACATCTTCATTTTTTCAATTAATACAAAACCTGAATATAGATTTGCAGTTTTAGGGGGGTTATGTGCTATTTCTTGACTTTTATCTTCCTGGCTAATTTCCACACTAAACAGCAAAATGTTGTTTTTACACAGTTTTCTATGCATGAAAGTATTTCCAGTGTTTTTAAGCTAAGCTAACAGGATGGAATCAGTCTTTTCATTTAACACTCCGGCACAAAGTGAATTAAGCTATTTTGAAAATTGAGTATTTTGATAATAATAATATATTTTTTATAATAATGTTTTGCAGGGACGTTTTCTATTTCTGAAATCAACTATAGAATTACCTTTGTTGTTTGGTTTTGTTCCTGAAGCATCATTTAACATAGCTGGATCTATCGCCTCCCCTTGTTTGAAATCCTCGTTTTGTCAGCTTGTTGTTCACACAACCAATTCATCAAAAACATTTACTACAGGCACAGTTTCGAATTGCAGAAGGCTGCACTTTTTCTTCAATTGAAGGATGTTTCAGACAGCTTCCTAAGCAAGGTATTTTGATGTTATGCAGAATCCGTGGCCTGTAAACGATGTGTTTCCAGTAGAAAATCATTTATTTTACTCAAACTAAGCACCCGGGCATTTTTTTCCCAAGCATCCTTCAAAAGCCGAGAAAGAAAAACGGCTCTGTTGTATCTCAGCCCATATCTCAACTACAATACTGAGCAACAAGAAATGGCAATAGGCCTGTGATCTTTTTCTTCTTTGTCAGCACTGTGCAGCCCACAAGCATGAGCACAGTCCTTGTTCCAAATGGATCAACAGACGATGATAGATTTGTCTCCTTGTCTACATTTCCATCCGCTCGTCCATTTATCCATTTATTCTCCTGTGTGTCGCAGCGAGCAGCGGCATCATCTGAGAAACAGCTGAAGGAACAAAAAAAAACAAGAGAAAAAGGGCAGGGTGTTTGGAGCAGAGTAGAGCCTTATCCCTCTGACACAAAAGCTCACTCTGATCCCTTGAATACAATAGAGCTAGCCCCCTTGCACCCTTGGGGCAGGCAGCAAATAATGCCCATAATGCAGCATGTCTGTGACTGCTGGAATCCCCCATGGCAATACTTGTCCAGCTTGTAGAGGACTGTGCCAGGGACGTGATGCCAGGCTGCAGACTATAATGCCAACTTACAGATGCCAAATCCTGGCACAAGTTATTCGTTATTCTTATTGTCTTTTTTCATCATGCCTTATGGACAGTGTGGGATGTGTTTCGGCTTGATAGATGCCAGCGGGTGTTGCAAAGCAAAGCACCCCTCCGTTCAATATGTACTGTAAATACTGTACGCTTAAACCAGCATTCCCCTCCATCATGCTGTGTGGTATTGTTTGGAATTGAGTTATTCGATGGAGCCACAACAATAGCGTGACAGCACAACTCACAGTGGCTTAGATGAGGCCGATACCAGAATTCTCACACAAGTAATAAGTCCCATGATGATGCTTCCTAAATAAAAGAACAAGGCACAGAGGCGGCAAGTTCACCACAGCGTTTCCCGTTGCTTTCCCTCGAGCTCCTGTCGTCTTCTCAAAACAGCTCTGACAAAAGAAAACTGGGAATTTGCCAACAGAAATAAAAGAACAATTACATTTTAGATCCACCTGAATAATTCATAAGTCATTGTTTGTGGCGTGATGCATGAACATGTGTGTTTGAAAGAAGCCAGCCAGTCCCTCAGAAACAACACAACTGTGCTAGATTTGTGGCCTCGGAAGTTGGGGACTGGGAATTAAAGAAGAAACAGCTATTGGTTTCAACTGGGTCGACTTCTGGTGAGGAGGTGCAAAGCTCAACAGCACTACACTGTGGCCAAAACAGAGCAAAGCACTGGCATATTGTGGTGTTATCTCTTTTATTTTAAATATACAGGGCTACAGCAGCATTTACATCCACATCACATGTACAGTGGCTTACACTTTGGCAGCAGCTCACATTTTCATTCCTTAAAACAAAAGCTCACAGACAAGCAAACAGCGAGCAAATACAGTATATGAAAATATACCTGGAGTTAATGGTGTGGATCATGATTTAAGTACCTTCAAGCAATCGTCAAATGATGCACCCCTAATTTCTTCCAATGGTTTAAACCTAGAGGAGAGTGAGATATAATAAGCATGCTTACATAATTTGTCTGTGTAATGTTTCTACAGCCATGTATACGATAACGCAGGAACCCAGGGGCCCCCTGGCTTATTTTTACTGTCTGCCCTTTCTGACACGAGGGGTCACTCCTCACCACATTTGGGCATGTGATGTGTGTGTCCTGTTTAAACACCCACACTGCTCTTCAGGCTGTCTATGCAACTGTTATTTATTACAGTGCACAGTGATGTATAAGTGGTTCTTTGCTCAGTAAATATGGAGAGAGAAGAAATCATTTCATCTTTCCACAAACCCATTTCTCAATTTAGAATAACAAATGAACATAAAAAAAAAAACACCAGATCCTCGTCCAAGTTGCTGCACACAGACATGTTTTTTCTTTTGAAAAGGGAATGAACACTGCAGTTGTCAGTTGCTCTCTGACAATCTGTGCCTGCACCATAAACTAAGGCACTCGATGTGGAGACCACTTTCAAGACTCAATACCCTTGTGTATCTTCCTCATGACAGCCGAGCCATTTTTAAAACGGCTTATGACTGAGATAAACAACTGTCTCCGTTGCACCCCAAAATCGTCTCTAATTGCTCAGTCTGTGCCATGGATCTGAGGAGCTAATATCAAATTTAAATGAGTGGTTAAGCCTAAAGAAGCATTTGGATGACTTCAAACATCAAATATGGGTGTTTGATTGTGTCACAGTCCCTTCTAGCTTGCCACAGGCTTCGGGAGACAGTACAAACAGGAATGAGGGGAAATTTTCATACTGGCCCTGACATAGTTCTACATGAAACTCCCGTCTGCAGTGCCGTAAAGAAACCGTCCCCATCCAGCCATTCCAGAGTTTGGTCCTCTCAGCTCGTCTCAGAGCAGGCGCTCCCACGCTCCCAGTGTCGTTCTGCCAATCACACGTCGATTTTCTTCAGCTGCTCATAAGTGAGGAAGAACTGAGCGTCGAGTAAAGGAACACAGGCAGTAGTGGGAGGAGAAATGTTTTGTTAAGCAGAATGTGAGGCACACTGAGAAATGTTTGGCTCTTTTCTGTACTCAAAGCCTTCCTTGTTACCGTCTCCTTGTTGCCCTCCCTGCTGGAACAAGTCAATAATCTCATTACTTTTCTCAGGCCTGGTTGGAGCTCAATGTGCGTGTACTTCTCGCTGCTCAGTCATCTTTAATCAGATTACGGCCTCTGCAGAACGACTCTTAATAGAGTTCACTCCCCACTCCCTTGTTTTCCCGCTCTTTTACCCCCTAACCCATCACTGAGGGCCCCCTTACATCCTCTCTAACCAGGGGCAGTGGGGTACTGAGGCAGTACGCTCAATGTTACATAATTGGGTTAGCAGGCTTTAAGCTAAGCTTTCCTCCCCTGAAGCACGGCGTGGAATGCAATACGTCACTGAACACGTAAGAGAAATTACTACTTTCCTCTGCTGATTTCTGCAGCTCAGAGGATATTACATCACCTAGGACATATGTAAACAGAAGGGTGCACTAATGAGATGGTTAAAGGATACAATGATGTTCCACGGTCCCAGACGGAGCCAGTTGGGAAAGAAACCCTTGTAGAGGGCCATGAAGCCCTCGGAGCGCCACGTCTGAAAAGAAAACAAGTGTTAAAAACCCACTTTAATTACTCTCTGATAATGGTCCCCAAGTGGTTATGAATTGACTAGGACTTCAAATTCCAAGACATCACGGTTTGATATTGAGATTAAACATCGCTATATGATATTAAATATTAATCATCACTCAAGCCAAAATCAAAACAAAAACACACTGTGGACAATTAATCTAGAACAAGGTTGTTTCACACATGTTGAAAATAAATGTAACCAGTGCAGGGCCTTTTCTAAAAGTGACTGTTTGCTTGGTTTGTGGCAATGCAGGTAGCAGTTTTCTGTCTGAAAAAAGACCTGCTGCTGGTCACAGTTTGCAGAATCCTGAAGCCACCACTGCACAAAGAGCTTTTCACCTGTTGAGTCAAATTTTGGTGAAGCTCAATTCGCTACGCAAAACCCAAGGAGTCCTAGCTGCCACTGCTACAGGGCGCTGGTTGCCTGTTTATTTGAGTGTTTAATAATATTGAATGTATCACAAGTTAAAATTGCACCAAATACAAAATCCTTTGGCCCTTAACAATGCAAATGCCAAGTGTGAAGCCAATGAGAAGTTAAGAAGTTGTACAAATAGGCAACTGGACTTGCTTGTGTTTTTTGAAGACACAAGCAAGTCCAGTTGCCCATGGAGACTGAGAATCTTCGCAGATATTCTCAAGACGAGCAAGCCTCGTGTCGTGAGTACAGACAGACAAAAGGACAGAAAGACATCTTTCTGGAATTAGTGGATAAATGCTTTATTAGACTTTTTTTGACTAAGAAAATGTTCAGTTGTTGATCTCAATTAGCTGTTTTTTAACACTTTACATCACAAATTAACATTAACACCCAAATTTACCTTAAATGACAGACTGAAGATCAACAGATATGCTCATATTTAAGATATAATAGGTCAATATAATTTCTCAAGTCACTGTCATCTTAAAATTTAAGGGTTAATATAAGAGTAAGAGATAAATATAAGAGTTTTTGTGACATCATTTTCTTAAAATCTTTTTAACTGTAGGAACCATGGACTTATTTGACACAGTTAGCTGCTTTCAATGTCAAAATATTTGCACGACCACAGATAAAAGTCATGCGGATAACTGGATTTCACGTGAACATCTATCAACGCCATCTAAACTGTATAATCTCTAAATGTTTTCACGTGAGATATTTCACTGACCTGAAGTAAACAGTCCAGTGTTCCCTGGTACAGAGCTCCTCCTCTCTGGTTCATCATACGTGTCCGAACCACGTCGACCGGGTTCGAGGCCAGAGCTCCAGCGAGACCGCACACAAAGCTGGACCTGTGGGGCACAAAGTACAGACTCTGTTTGTCCTTTAATAGCATTCTTGGTGTTAAACTATGTTTCTATGGCGTGTGAGTGCTGCTGCTTGCACATGTAAAAAAACAAGTTCTGAGAATATCTCCTTATACAGAATGAGTTCACTTGAGTCAGTAAGATATTGTGCAATATAACTACTACTACTTTCATTTGAATGCAGTATGTGCAATTTCCTCCAAACAAAAATAATCCAAAGCACGAGTGGAATGTCCGAATATCCACAGAACATTAACTGTGATAAATACTCACAGTGAAGTGAGCTTTTAATGAAAGTAAGCTTTTATTGGCTGAAATACAAATACAATACTATACTGTATATGCAGTACAGCTGTCAGTCCTCAGATAGACAGAAATACAGTGTTATTTTGAGATGGCAGTTACTTCCACAACAGAATATTGTCTCAAATACCAAACAGAACACTGCTGCTTATCCTGAATGTGAGCAAGAAGAAGAGGAACTGAACATTTGCATAACCTAAAGATTGTTACTTCTTCCTCTTATCTAATGGTTGTTGCATTTCTAAACTAGCATTACTGATTCTGCAGGGAATTCTCAGCAGGGATTGCCCATACACTAACTGTACAAACTTAGAATGACTCCTGGTCTATGACTAGTCCTGGTCTATGGTCTATGAATCAATTTCCAACCATGACCTCCTATGTTATTGGCATTTCAAGCATCGACACTGCTTTTTTATTTTAATATTTTCTGGCCCAGATCCACATTTGTGTATCAAAATATGTCTTTTTCTAACAAGCAATGTCCTGCCATGGATAACGTCACATGAGAAAGAGAGAAAGAAGACAGAGGTGTGCAGGTTACTTGGCAAACTCACAAGAAGTGTGTGTAAACGGTGTCCCCCATGTAACCTGACAGGATCAGATGCTTTTTGGTGATGTCATAGACCGGTAGCTCAACCCCGACCACAATGGCTGCCCGCTGAGCTGTTAGGGAGACACCCTGATGGAGAGAGACAGGGGAAGAATCGTAACATCATTCCTTGTCTGTGACATCTGAGACACATTGTCCCCGAGTGCATGCGTCAATACTAATCAAGCATTTTTTTCCAAAGTTCTGTACCTTCCACAGCCCCCTTGTCCCCTCCTCTTGGTAAATGTTGATGAAGTTGCCCATCATACTGCCCTGGATCACATTTCCCTGAGCCTGCATGCGGATCTGGGAGAAAAGACACAATGTTATGTCCATGAATTTGTTTGAATAATGTCCATAATGTCCATGAATTTGAACTTGAGACCGTGAGAGCATGCAGAATGCTCATGAACCCACAAGTGTGGGTAAGTTATGGTCAATTGCCTGTTGGACTGCAAAGAAAACAAAGTTAGAACAGATTTTTGGCAAGCTCAGAGTCGTGAAGCATTTTCTCTTCCTTTGCTTCCTGGAATTCAGCAGCCCAATCTGGACTTGTTCTCATTTGTAATGGCTGCCGTGTACAGATCAGCCTTGGTTCACTGTCTGTCTCTGCTGTGACTTGGCAGGCACAGCTAGAAATCCTCGAAATGAAAATGCAACTATCAAACCCACATCTATTTGACTGTCAACCCCTAATACACAGTGTATGCCAAACAGGGTGTGGCAAGAAGATGCCAACATAACAAATATAATGACAGCATGCACACACACAAATCATATTCATGCACTCATATCATTTACAGAACACTATGTTAAGCCTTTGAGACTTCCATCTATAAATAATGAGGTCCTGATAGCACTGTGATAGCCTTCCCTCCACCAGGCATGCTACTAAAAGATCACATCAACACTCTGGAGCCGTCACTGCCTCCTCGAGAGAGATTTGTTGATAGAAATGTATTTAGGTACGGCTTAGGGCTGCAACTATTGCTACTATTTCAATAATCAAATTATCTGTTGAACACTACTCCTATGAATTGATTGGCTATCGTTTAAAGGAACATTTATCCTTTCTAGCAGAACACTTGAACAGCAACTTACCTGTCGTCTTATACAGTGCTCTTTCACTTACACATATGTGCAATTTAATTATGACTGCTACTCCAGTTTCATATATCTACAATTTAATTCTGACTAGTCATAGTTCAATTTCAAGATATCTTTAATTCACCTCAGTTCAAAATATCTTAAATCAAGTTTCAACTAGTCAAAATGGCAGTGTAGATATCATGAGTTTGAACTATGACGTAACTTAATGTCTGAAACTTGAATTTAAGATAATAATAATATGCAACTGAATTGTAGATGTATGAGAAACCCTTCACACGGATGGAAAAGGTAGTTTGAATATTTTATGTCAAAAAGTAAATAGAAATTTAGAAATGTGGAGTTTTGACAGGTCAAAGTTATAGACATTGTTTTGTTGTTGTTGTTTTATTTTTCTGATCAATTTAATTAATTGACCAACCCTAGTTCAGTCCTACTCGAGGCTGCATGGGTAATAACAGCTGTATAAGAACAACAGAAGAAGAGAAAGTTGAAACTGCCGTTTCAGCGAGAGCCTTCTGCACACCCGGGGGCAGTTTAAGGAAACCGTCAAACCTGTTCTAAACTGCGGTTTATAACAATAACAAGGTTCAATGCAAACTTGTTCAAAGAGCTACCTTCAGCACATCAGTGGGGTTGGCGATGGAGGAGGAGATGACACCAGAGAGAACCCCGCACGCCACATTAGTCAGCAATGTCTCATCTGAAAGATAAGAAGAGTGGGAGGCTCAGCTGTGAAGAAGCAACATTTGATACCATGCATCTAACAGCCAGTTTATCTTTACAGTGTTTTTATTTTTAACAGCAGCACAAAGCATCACAATGAACTGGGAGACGTATTTAACTAGGTCACACACTGACACACATCTTTACCCGACCTATGACCTTCAAGAGGAATTTGCACATGTTGGCTGCCGACTTATGTGTCTGTACTTTTCAGTCAGATTTAGGGAGAGACAGAAACTAGGACTCACCCTCGGGCCTTTCTACCAGCAGTCGCTTAAAACTCTGGTATGTGCCAATTTTGATGGTCCCATAGGAAGCCTGGCGCAGCATGGCAGGAGCTATTCTGTAGAAGAAAGTCAGGTTTATTTTTTAATATGAGTTCTCAGGTGGTCTTTAAAGACACACACATGCAATGTATGTCCCTGTAAAAAAAAGTTAAAAACAAGAAACAAATCCCCCCCCCCCCCCATGTAAAAACACAGATCCCCACTTTGTGTTCATGAGAAATGTGGGTGGGACAATGGCTGATGCAAAAGAGGAAGTGCAAACATGAGAAGTGTAAAGAAGAGGAGGATGGGTCCAGTGCTCAGGTACTTCACACTATGTAGGGACAACACACACACACACACACACACACACATATATATATATATATAATCCTCCACACTGACCCAGAGTACAGAGCCCGGAGCCCCTCCTCTCGAACGATCCGCTGCATGGCGTGCAGCATGCCCCTGTATCGGATCTCTCGGTATTTGCTGTCCCCCACTTGGCCTTGAACTTGAAGCCGTGTCTTGGTCAGGTCGATGGGGAAGGTTCCTGCAGCGACAGAGCATGAGATGAGATACCACGATGCCACCTGTAAATGACGAGCCGGGTTTAAATGGCTCTGTTGGCGCAGCTCGGCCTCCGTGCCCCCGGCAGCCCTGCACATCACTCACCGCACTCCGCCGTCATCGACGCCAGTCCGCCGAAAACAAAGGGCTTCCAGTTCACGTTCGACATGTTCTCCAGCCGCGCACCGAGTCACAGAGTGTGGGGAACCTGCAGAGAGCAGGAGGCGGCGGAGGAACGTCTGCGGGTTAAGCTTCAGTACTGCAGCTGCTGCGTGAGAGTCTCTACCGGCGTTTCACGCGCTCGATCCCCGCCTCACCTCCTCCTGCCGCCAGAAAAGCTCCGCCCCTCACCGGCTTCTCCCTCCGCCCCGCCCACAGCCTGTCGCCAAGCAACCGTGACAGACATCCCAGAGCAGCCAAGTCATAAATCCAACATGTCTTACACAGAGTGCACATTTATACGGTGGCCGAGAGAGCTCAGCGCACTGCGAATTAAGAAAACACATGCAAATAGGAAGGACTCCTGCAAATCAAGAAAACCACCTGATCTATTTGAAGACACGTGCCCACAAAGTGATGAGCCTTCAGTTCAATCCTTTGTGAAGTTCCATCACCACTGACGAGTAACAGACTTCAGTAACTTAACAAAGCTTTAAACACGTGCTGCAGACTTTTTGCAGCTCATGTGATGTTAAATTGATGTTTTGTTAATTTGCAGGTGTTATTTCTATTTGCATGTGTTTTCTTAATTTGCATAAACACCGTTTAATTGCGTAGTTGGGCAAAGTATTTTGTAGGAAATGATCATAAACAAATACATTGATAATGCTGAAATACAAATGGAGCAGTTCTGCTGTCAGTCCTCAGAAATACTGTGTTATTTAGAGATGGCTGCTGCTTCCACTGCTGAACATTGTCTCATATACCAAACAGAACACTGCTGCTAATACTGAATGTGACCTGTAAAGAGCGACTCAACATTTACGCAACCTAAAAGTGTTAATGTGTTAAAAGTTTCTCTTCCAATCTCTCATTTGTGATTCTGCAGGGATAGTAGATATAATCATGGGACAAACATAGAACTGACTCCGGGTCTAAGACTGAAACATCCCTGCTTTTGTTTTATTTCAAACTTTCACTTTTTTATCTTAATTTTTCTGGTGTGGATCCACATTTGTGTATCAAAGGAGCACTGATCTTTACTCTTTTCAAAATAAGAGAATATTATTATTACACATTTTTAAAAGGATTTCTGGTTTGAAATAATGTTTCAGAAAATGTCCTGGTAAATGGTTTGAATCATTAACAAACTCAGAAATTAACTGACACTTTTGTAGACATTGTTTAAGACACCATAGATTCAGCAAAAATGGATACTTCTAGAAACATAAACAGGATATTAATGTTTATGAACCAAAGGTAAGAGCTAAAATAAATCCTCACCCTCACTGTCTCGTCTTCCCTTGCTGCCACATTCATGTGTTTAATTTTCCCATATGCAGTAATAGCTTTTCATTCTTGGGTCTGTCCATTTAAAAATATGGGATATCATAATTTAGGTAAACTTCTTCCACTGTAGACATCAATGCAACTTCCTACATATCATGTGAGTAATCATCATGAGGGTACAGATGGCTAATGTCACCTTGAATTTATAGTAAATAAGAAATAAATTGAGCATGGTGCAGTATATAGACCAGACACATATGTAAAAGCCTAGAAGAAGTTTCAGAGTCTTGCTTTTGCTGCACATTTGGATTTTTTATTTTTTTCCTGCAGAAATACATTTGATACCATGATACCAGATCATCACAAATCCTGTTTAAAGCTCAGATTTTGCATCAGTCTAACTCTGGCTTTGTGGACACATGGAACATAAAGGTTGTTCCGTTAATACTGGAAAGAGTGAGAGCTCATGTCATCTTTGCTTCATGTTTTTCCATTAAATAGAACGTAAGCCTCTGATATGTCTTTTCATCAGCTTTCTTGAACATAAGGAAAACAAAAGCATAGCCTACAATCATCAACCATACATTACACTGTGAACAGAATAGAATATTATTTATTTTGATACTTCCATCAGTTAATGACACATGTGATCGTGGCGAGAAAATATAGCCTTTCCTTTTACCACTTCATAGAGAGGTCAGAGGTCACATCTGGAGCTCACATGTGTTTCAGTCTCTATAAACAGGAAGTCTCTCTATTGCAGAGTCATTCCTATTGTCGACTGAAAGGAGAACTGTGAGAATAAGCTGTAAAAAAGCTCACAGGTGGCGTATTAACTAATAATGCTGATTTAGTTTAGTTTATTTTGCGCAACATATACAAAAATCTTTCAATACAATGTGAAAATGCATGTAGAAAGTAGTACAAACCAGTACTGGCTTATATGAAAACTACATCCAAATATAACAAAAAATTCAACTATCCAAAACCTCCAATACAGCATATATACTGTATTAGGACAATATAAAAATCTGAATGAATATGATAATAAAAAATGAGTGGAGAATGCATGGTCCAAATACAGTATACAGGCTAACAGAACAGCTCATTTTCAGTAAAAAAAAAAAAAACAAACAAAAACGATTTAAACAGCAGAGCATTTGTAAGTATCTTTTTTGAACATGGACCATGACACAGAGGAATCAGTTACATGTTTTCATTCTGCAAGATCACTTCTTGATATTTAACTGAAAATTGACCACAAAGATTCTTAGCCTGCCAGTTTCTTATTATGGAATTATTGCCAAAATAATTTTAAAAATAATTAGGTACATTTGACTCTGTATATTTTACTTTAAAAACAAATGTTCAGATTTCAAATATGTAAATGTAAAAAATAGTCAGCAACAAATCATTTGAAAGAACAATTATATACAGAAACAGCACAAATGTAAATGGCTGCTTCTTTCTTCCTGTCTGATTAATATGTCTTCAAGAAGTGTTCCCTGCACGTTCGACGCTTGTCTTGACACATTACATGGAATGTAAGCAGGCCAGTGAGGCCACATTCTGCTTCAGTCATCTTCAGTCTGCACAGCAAGAGACAAGACTGCAACAGGAGCGTGAGGGTGAGTGTGGAGGGCTGTGACCCTTCACATCATTTGTCTTGGGCTGTAAATGTTCAACACGGTCATGCAGAAGAAGCTCCGTGTTTTATCTGCATGCCGCCTGAGGGTTGTGGACAGAGAGCTGGAATGCCCCATCAGCTCGTGCAGACGTCCCCTGTGCATGGTCCTCACTCCTGGTGAGGTCAGTGTCTTGCTGTCATATCCGATAGTGATGCCGTGTGCTGAAAGGAGCAGAATAGTTTAGGCCATGTTCTCTTCATTTGGATGCACATGAAGCCACTGGGGGCAGCAGAGTGAATCGATGAAAAATATATTGTGCTATCATGGACAACATTATACAAGGATCTTTAACAATCACCTCAAACCACCAGAGCATGCAGGATGTTTATTTGTTGCCCCATTAAAAGAAGATTTTTTTTTTTCGAATGTCTTCTCTTGAGAAACGCTTCCATATTTTGGTACACTGCACTGGTGGTTCTCAAACTAAGGGTCGGGATCTCCTGGGTGGTCGCAAGACACAGAGAGGGGGTCAGGAAATTATTTACACAAATCAAATGCGATATCAATACCACACTTTGTAATGGTAATGTTTTGCAGCAAATGATAATGAATAGTAGTTCAATTTAAGATAAAGCCAAGCAAAAAAAATATTTAATCAACCCTGTGATTTTCTTTTCTTTGTGATTTTCCCTGAGGTGATATCACAGAGTAGCCACAGCATCAGTTGCAGCATTTTATAATTTTTTTTATTTCTACATGTGCACAAAGGAGAGTTGTTTGTGAACTTGCTCATATCAGTGTCTTCTGTCGTAATAAATGGTTTGTATTTATATATCACTTTTCTAGTCTTGGCGACCACTCAAAATGCTTTACAGTATGGTTTGCCATTCACCCATTCACACACACATTCATACAGTGCATCTATTAGCAGCACTGTATTATTCTTTTGTATAAGGAGCAATTTGGGGTTCAGCATCTTGCCCAAGGAAACTTCCGCATGCAGATGGGGGAGACTGGGATTGAACTGCTGACCTTCTGGTTGGAGGACAACCAATGCAATAATAGAAGTACATTTTATTAATCTGAGAAAAACACAGACGAATATGTAAAACATGATTCACCATCATCCTATAAAAGCCACAGCTCACATGTTTTGTCTCTCTTATGGATGCACAGGTCTAAAAAAAGATGTCTGTGTGTGAAACTGTGATTATACAAAAAAAAAACATTAAAAAGAAGCTTGAAATTCTTCCAAAAATATGGATTTCTGAATAAAACATATTTACTACAGAGGACACATCTAGCTTTATTAAGTCATGTTGTAGTTTCATCCTGCTGCCACTAGATGTCACAACAACGCCATTTCCATTTTCAGGACAATGTTGATGCCCATTGTACAATTTATTGACAGCGGCTGATTGACGGCTCAGTCTATGTGATGGTGACCCAGGCACTTATATGTTACATACACACCAATCGATCCCAGCTGAATGATCGGGCGCAGATAGCAGGAAGTCTTTATAGATAATTAGGAAACACAGATATGTGTGATTGACAATGTGGACATGTACAGCAGACAGTGACCAACAACACAGGGGTGGTCCACTTGGGATTAATATGTCATGTAATGTTTCCCTGGATGTATGTGACTCTGCTCATCAAAACACAGATTTCCACAGGAGGTTGCTTGTGTAAACACCTCAGCTTCCTCTTATCTGCTTTTCGATCAAATGTGTCCTTCTGCTCCCAGCTAAGCAGTGGGTCTATTCTCCTGACTGCAAGACATTCATCTAGAGCATATTTATTATGATCATATGCTAGTTGTATTGTTTGATTAATGGCTTGGCTACGGGTCAGTAACCTCAGTGTGTCCATCAGTACATTATTAACGACCGAGGAGAAGGAGGAGGTGTGTGTATCACCATGCGTGTTTTTGTGCATGCATGTGAGTGTGTGTGGCAGGTGCGTGCGCAAATGCTACGCACGACATCGACCAAAGGAAATAGATGAATGGAAATATTGCAGTTTTATCTGAAACCAATAAGAAGAGGGAAGTGTGGTGCGCCCCAAATGGCCACATTTAATGTGGTGATTTGTCAAAAGGACCCCGAGAACAGACCTGGGATAGAAGAGGAGGGGATATATCTGTGTTTGGTGGCGTACAAAACAAGGATGGAGAATACAGTTGTGTTATTTAGGAGGAAATGAGAATGCTCAGCCCTTTCCAGATGTATAGGTCTAGAGACACAGAGATGATCTTCAGAAACATGCATTGAATGGAAAAAAAAAGATATGCTTCCTAA